ACAGAGAATGGTTCCTTCCGTGGTTTGGAAAGGAACAGATTGCACATGCAGCGAAGTGGACTGCAGAGTGCCTTGTATGTCTTCAGCTTGAGCATGAGCCGATGATATGGGGGCAAGGTCGACGGTAGGCAAAGACTAGAGGGTGAGGTCGACGCGTGAGAGAGCGTCGGCGACGGGATTGTTGATACCTGAGACATGATGTGTGTCATCAGTAAACTACGTGACAAGTCTAGGTGTCTTGTTTCCCGTTGTGAATATTTATCGCAAGAAGAGTTTGAAGGCGAAAATGAGGAGCTTGTGGTCAGTGAAGCCCGTGAACGCGCGGCCTTCGAGTGTGTGCCGGAAGTGACGAATGGCTAGGTAAATGGCGAGCAGTTCTCTGCCAAACGTGCTGTGGCGGGATTCCGCTGGCTGCAGGTGCATGGAGAAGAACCCAAGGGGTTGCCATTGCCCACCAACGTGTTACTAAAGAACGGCTTCTACCGCGAAATCTGAGACATCAATCGTAATATAAAGGGGCGCAGTCGATTCGGAATGAGCGAGGATGGCTATGTTGGAAATAGCATCGTTGATCTCGGCGAAGTCTGTCTGTGCTGTGTCAGAGAAAGCGAACCTACGTTCATTCCATTTGAGTAGGTCAGTCGGAGGCTGCATGAGTTGAGCGCAACACGGAATGAAGCGTCGATAGCAGTTGACCAAACTACAAAACCGACGGAGGTGTTTTAACGAAGTCGGAGTCGGGAAGTCCTTGATTACCTGGATCTTATCCAGAAGGACTTCGATACCAGACGATGCAACGGGGTGGCCTAGGAATTCTACCACTGATTTGCCAAGTTCGCACTTAGTCGGGTTGACTATGACATCGTGTTGGGTTAATCGCTGGAAGAGAGTTCGAAGGTGGTCGACTTGCTCTTCTTCCAATGAACTGTCTACTAAAATACCATCAAGGTAGTAATAAGCGAAGTCTAGGCCACAAGTGACATCGTGGATGAAGCGTTGTAAGGTATTTGTGACGTTGCACAGTCCAAATGGCATTCTTAATAGTTCAAACAAATCGAAAGAAGTGATAACGGCGGTTTTAGTAATGTCATTTTATTCCACAGGTATCTGGTGATAGGCGCGAACCGGATTGATCTTGCTGAAGATCGTCTTACCTGTGAGGCAGGCGGTAAGGTCCTGCATGTGTGGAATAGGATACTTACCTGAGACGGTTAGACGATTGCGTGCGCGGTAATCACCACAAGGGCGCCAGTCACCAGATTTCTTGGGGACCATCTGCAGGGGAGGGGACCAAAAGCTGTCGGAACGGCAGAGTATTCCAAGTTCAAGCATGTGCTCAAACTCCGTCCTAGCTACCTTCATTTTCTCGGGAGATAGTCGGTATGGACGGCATGAGACGCGTGGGCCATTCGTCCGTATGAGGTGCGTGACTTAGGAAGCCACGGGCAAAACTGCGTTCATTGGCTGAAAGAGCTTGAAATAATGGGAAAAGAGGTTGGCGTAGTCTGGCGAAGTCTGGGGATGGGCGTAGACTGGTGTTATAGAAGCGATACCGGTGGTGATGCTAAGTACACTGAGTTTCGTTGCGGTGTCTACTATCATCTGGTTTTTCGCATCGACCAAGAGATCGAAATGCCTGAGAAAATCAATGCCGATGATGTCAAAGGGGACTGCAGTGACGGTGAATACCCAACGGAACTTGCGTCGTAGACCTAGGTCCAGGGTAAGCGACCGATGACAGTAGGTGGCTATTGGTGTGCCATTGGCGGCACTTAAGCTTGTCGACAAAACAGCGGTATGCTCACCTGGCATAGGGGGAATGACGCTGACTTCCGCCCCGGTATCTACTAAGAACTGGGTCTCGGAATCACAATCCCTAATGTAGATGAGACGGCTTTGAGTTTTGCCAACGTCGGTCGTGGCCATTACAAGCCGGCTTGGCAGATCATCTGTAAGGAAGTAGCTGCATGACTGTACGCATTTACGGGCTTTATTACCGAAACACGATTGGTAAAAGCAGTAACCTGAGGCATCAGGTTTTGTGCGACGGGGTGATGATCCAGAGTGGCTGCGGTGCTTACGATTTAAGGTGAGCTCCCCAAGCTGGCGCTGAAGTGACGCC